TTTTGACAATCATTAAATGAAAATGTGATTCCTGGATTTTAGAGTTAACATGAAGATATACAGTACCTAAGTACATTAAATTTACAGTACCTACCATAATACCAACTAGATTTGTAAAATTCCAAGTCTAACATTTTCTACGAATACCTACTGCTGATCACAAAATTATTAATTATTATTTAGTATTATGTTAATTTAATTGTATCGGGTACCAATAATTTATATTTTAGATTCTGAGCGGAGCGATGAATATAGGTCCGTGAAGTTAGCGGAAAAATGTGAGCACTAATTTCCGCTATACCACCACTATTTAGTGCTCAATTAGTGCTATACAACCGTTGCGTTTTAAAAATTAGTGCTATACTCAGTAAAAAGTTACAGGGGGGCTTACCTTTCTCCGCTAACTTCACGTAGCGGGTTCAACACCAGCACCAAAATCCGCTATAGCACCAAATTTTAGTGCTGAATTAGTGCTATTCGATGGTACCGTTTTCAAAATTAGTGCTATGTTTTCCTAAGAGTTATGCGATTTTCCGCATTTCGTCCCAGCGGGTGCACCTTCAGCACCAAAATCCGTTATAGCACCAAAATTTAGTGCTGAATTAGTGCTATTCGATGGTACCGTTTTCAAAATTAGTGCTATGTTTCCCTTCGAGTTATGTGATTTTCCGTATTTCGTCCCAGCGGGTGCACCTTTAGCACCAAAATCCGCTATAGCACCAAAATTAAGTGCTGAATTAGTGCTAAACAACGGAACTGTTTCCAAAATTAGTGCTATGTTTTCCTAAGAGTTATGCGATTTTCCGTATTTCGTCCCAGCGGGTGCACCTTCAGCACCAAAATCCGCTATAGCACCAAAATTAAGTGCTCAATTAGTGCTAATCAATGGAACTGTTTCCAAAATTAGTGCTGTAGTCAGTCAAAAGTTACAGGGGGCTTACCTTTCTCCGCTAACTTCACGTAGCGGGTTCAACGCCAGCACCAAAATCCGCTATAGCACCAAATTTTAGTGCTGAATTAGTGCTATTCGATGGTACCGTTTTCAAAATTAGTGCTATGTTTCCCTTCGAGTTATGTGATTTTCCATATTTCGTCCCAGCGGGTGCACCTTCAGCACCAAAATCCGCTATAGCGTCGAAATTTAGTGCTGAATTAGTGCTATTCGACGCTACCGTTTTCAAAATTATTCTAAATTTTCTTCTGAGTAATGATGTGTTTATTATTTTATTCCTTAAATTATTTTTTAGTTTTAATTTGAATTAAATATTGTGTTTTATAACTTTTATTCTCAATAATTTGTTTTTATTAAATTTGTTTTGTATTTAATTATACCATACAAAATAAAGCTAACTTTATTCGAGTCATATTAGTTGTACTATAGCTGCTATCAGGATATACAAAAATAATAATTGGTGCTACCTCCAAACCAAAGTCATCTCCGTTTTTCATCTTAGCGGGATCATAAGCATTTCTTAAATATAAATTTACAAACAGAAATCATTGAGCACCGTTACCCCATCACTGCCAAGTTTGAAACTGAATATCAAAATTAACCTGTACTATGTACTTTATTTTGTACAATTATATACAACCAAAATTAAATTTTGTACAACTCCCCTAACACGAGAAAACGCGATTTTTCCATGTCCGTGCTGCGGTAAAATTACCCTGACTCTGCCAAAGACCAATTATTATCAAATCAAAATTTAATTCGTACAGTATTATGTACTTTATTTTTTACAATTTTTTGCAACCGCAATTAAATTTTGTAGATCTTCCCCAACTTGAGAAAACGGGATTTTCTCTTGACCTTATTTTCTCTTGCTATTATCCTCATCTGGGATTTTTTTAACTGCATGTCTCAGTCATGCCCTTAGAGTGGGCCATTTGGTGCAATTGCACCACCTAAGAATTTTAATAATTTGGATTTTTCAAATATAAAAATTCCTTCTCTGTTATTTATAATTTTTATCTATGAATATGTCTAATTTAGTAAATACCTATTCTAAGAAACCGTCGTCTGTCGAACTTTAGTATAGGGTACAGTGATGAAAGAACGGTAATACGTGTCTATTTTAGTCTTTAATGATTAGGGTTTGGATTTGAAGGCAAAAGCATATTTTTAAATAATAATAATAGATAAATAATCTTTATACAAAAATATGTGTCATTTAATATGTAAGATGATAAACGTATTTTTATTTTTTTTTGTCTTTTTGCCTTTTTCACTTATAAATTACTCTATTCATTATTGTGTTTAATTTTTAATTGATTTGATAGTTTTATACATGACATACGTATTAAGGGGATTGGAAGCGACGATTTTCTGTCTTTATCTAACACACGTGCAACGTAGGATTATAGACGTGTTCTATTTCCAACGTACCGATTAATCTAATGAAGCGATACGAATTCTGAAAACAGATTTGAATTTGTCGTCAAGTCTACTTGAGATCAACTTTCCCACATTTTTGATTTTTTGATTTAAACTTCTCCAAAAGTTGAAATATGTAAATTTTTTAATTACTATTTTTAATATGACATTTTTAGGAATTTGGGGGATAATATCAAAAATGTGGGAAAGTCAATTTCAAGTAGACTTGACGACAAATTCAAATCTGTTTGCAGAATTCGTATCACTTCATTAGATTAATCGGTACGTTGGAAATAGAACACGTCTATAAGCCTATGTTGCACGTGTGTTAGATAAAGACAGAAAATCGCTGCTTCCAATCCCCTTAATGGTACAATTCGATAAGATTTTCTGAATACATGTGCATTGTCATCTGTCAATTATTTATAATGGGTTTTACTATCGGCGTTATATTTTATCGATATCACTAAATACTTTATGGAGTAGGTATTTGGTATGGTCAGTTAATTTAATTTTTATAAAAGCACCATTACTACCTATCTATAGATTAAAATATGTATATTCATAATGCGTAGATACTACATTAAAAATTGTTCGTCAGTCCGCCCCACTAACTTCCGTGGATGTAAAAATATCATTTTCTTAGTACAAAAATATTGTCCAAACCGTAAACATTTTACCGAAGAAAGCTTATCCAAGTACATGGTTGTGAATGTTTTTTAATACAAACTAGTTTAATATACAAATTAACCATATCACAATATCCATAAAGTACTTAATAAGTACATATACTTTATAATAGTTAGACACCGATAACAAACCGCTATATTATATTACTATCATAGATATAATATAGTAGTATACACTAGAAGTTTCAAGTACCCACGAATAATATTATACAATCACAACAAAATAACTAAAATAGTTATTCTAGGTTTTTTAAAATGTAATTTCATCCAAATTTGAACTTAAAATGACAATAAAAATAAACTGTGCTTATGTATTTTTAGATTTTTCGGTAACAGAATAAACTACTCACGTGGAATCTTGTTTTAAATTTTCAATCCTCAGATATAAAAGTTGAACATTTTATACATTTTTAACTACAAAATAATTATTCAATTTTAAATTTGATAATTTTGTCAAAATTCGAATTTTAAATACTTATAAAAAAAATTGTGCATATGTATTTTTAATATTTTTCAACTGCTATTTTTACAATATATCAGGAGCCTTGTATTACATTTTTACACTTTTTGGCCCAAAAGATAAAATTGTATTGATATTTATTGAAAAAAAAACTAATAAAATTGGAAACTGAATGTATTTTCAGAGTAATTTTTCTGTATTCAGAGTATTCAATCGCAAGCTGTTCTGTGGTGATTCTTGTTCCTTCTTTAGGAGCTAATAAAAAAAAAAGGTGCTCTGCTGTACTGTAGGTTATAAGTGGTTGGTTGTATAATGGATGGTATTAAATTTGAATTCAATGATATAATATCATTGTATAAGAAACACGATTATGAGCGGAGACGGTATGTCAGTCTAGGTTTAAGACATAATATATACTTATCTATGGTATTAAAAAAAAATTGACCTATAATAGGTACCTATAATAAATTCCAAATTAATCATATGACAATATCCATTAGGTACTTATAATGCGTTATACATCAACAACAAACCGTGATACTATCATAGATATAGAATAGTAAACTTTAGAAATTTCAAGTACCCACGAATAATATTATACAATCACAACAAAATAACTATAATAGTTATTCTAGGTTTTTTAATATGTAATTTCGTCCAAATTTGAACTTAAAATGACGATAAAAATATACTGTGCTTGTGTATTTTTTAGATTTTATGGTAACAGAATTAACTACATACATGGAATCTTGTTTTAAATTTTCAATCCGTAGCTATAAAAACTGAACATTTTATAATTAATTAATTACAATGATTGATAATTTTCGAGATTTTGATGAATTGTGTCAAAATTTGATCTTTAAATGCATATAAAAAAAAATTGTGAATCTGTATTTTTAATATTTTTCATTCAAAGGTGCACCTGCTGGGACGAAATGCGGAAAATCGCATAACTCTTAGGAAAACATAGCACTAATTTTGGAAACAGTCCCGTTGTTTAGCACTAATTCAGCACTTAATTTCGGTGCTATAGCGGATTTTGGTGCTGAAGGTGCACCCGCTGGGACGAAATGCGGAAAATCGCATAACTCTTTGGAAAAACATAGCACTAATTTTGAAAACGGTACCATCGAATAGCACTAATTCAGCACTAAAATTTGGTGCTATAGCGGATTTTGGTGCTGGCGTTGAACCCGCTACGTGAAGTTAGCGGAGAAAGGTAAGCCCCGCTGTAACTTTTGACTGACTACAGCACTAATTTTGGAAACAGTTCCGCTGATTAGCACTAATTGAGCACTTAATTTTGGTGCTATAGCGGATTTTGGTGCTAAAGGTGCACCCGCTGGGTCGAAATACGGAAAATCACATAACTCGAAGGGATACATAGCACTAATTTTGAAAACGGTACCATCGAATAGCACTAATTCAGCACTAAATTTTGGTGCTATAATGGATTTTGGTGCTGGCGTTGAACCCGCTACGTGAAGTTAGCGGAGAAAGGTAAGCCCCGCTGTAACTTTTGACTGACTACAGCACTAATTTTGGAAACAGTTCCGCTGATTAGCACTAATTGAGCACTTAATTTTGGTGCTATAGCGGATTTTGGTGCTAATGGTGCACCCGCTGGGTCGAAATACGGAAAATCACATAACTCGAAGGGATACATAGCACTAATTTTGAAAACGGTACCATCGAATAGCACTAATTCAGCACTAAATTTTGGTGCTATAACGGATTTTGGTGCTGAAGGTGCACCCGCTGGGACGAAATGCGGAAAATCGCATAACTCTTTGGAAAAACATAGCACTAATTTTGAAAACGGTACCATCGAATAGCACTAATTCAGCACTAAAATTTGGTGCTATAGCGGATTTTGGTGCTGGTGTGGAACCCGCTACGTGAAGTTAGCGGAGAAAGGTAAGCCCCCCTGTAACTTTTTACCGGGTATAGCACTAATTTTTAAAACGCAACGGTTGTATAGCACTAATTGAGCACTAAATAGTGGTGGTATAGCGGAAATTAGTGCTCACATTTTTCCGCTAACTTCACGGACCTGATGAATATTTTGATTTTACTATGATGTGTATTTAATTTTTAATTTTTTTGTTATTATTTTTTTTTTGTGTTTGATGCGTACACGATAAGTAGGTAGTCAAAATAAACTTTCGTGTTCCATGCATAATATATTATAGGTAATCTGTATGTAATAAATGATCATAGTTTTATTTTTAAGTTTCTTTGTATTTAGTAAATAATAATATAGGAAATTGTATTTTCGAACATTAATTTTTTGTTTGTATTAAATACTTTCACCATAATAGGGAACTAAAATTGTCATTTATCGTTAAAACAACAAATTTTGTGAAAAATTCAATTTTGGTAGGTAAGTGTTTTGTGTAGGCATAATAAATGTTACATTAAAATTTAAAAAATTCAAAAAATTACATTAATTGGATTATTAATTAGAATATAGGTACTACAGTTTCCAGCTTCTACTACAACATTACGTTATATTATGTTTTTAATTATTAAAATGTCTAAAAAGTAAATGAAAATCCAAAAATAATATGAAATTATGAAAACAAACTTACGCTGAAACATCGACTCTCCCGGTGAAACCTAGCTAGAGTGCATCATCAACAATGCAAACGTCCAGTACGTGACGCCACCGAAGAAACAGCTATCTTCATCTCGTTCCGAACTGTAACTTGAAATTATCGAAATATTTTATGAAAATTACCTGAACATAACGAAATGTGCGAATTCGTGTTAAAACTTACATAATAATATATACGGCTCAACGAACTATCTGACCATATTGATGGCTTATTATTTTTTTTTTCACTAAAATTATTAGAATTGTTAATCGTCGCAGACGAATGTCGACAATTGGCGATTGCCATAGATGATATAAAATATATTTTTTAATATGATAAATCCATAGAACTTCTACACTCAGCACATAAACGGTCTATTGATAAATCGTGTGTTCTTTTACAGAAATGATTGTGGTCTGCAATGTATTCTTGTTTTCTATTTCAGTTATTTATCGCATACTAAATTTAACCAAACAAATTAGTCCGCAAATTTATAGACATCACAAATATATAATATAAATTATAATTTACAGTAGTTTATATCTGTGATAGACATTCTAATATCTAATGCATTCTCCCGCCGGAGGCCATACTCCATAGACCCAGTTCAGGGGAAGTTAAATTTTTACCTACAAATTTATAAAAAAAAAGTGGTTGGGGCAAAAAACTTTATGATTTTTAAACTGATAAATAATTTACAAAATAATTTTCTCATGACTATAAATAACGCAAAAAGAGTTAAAATAGTTTGAAAATTTTACCATGTATGGAAAATTCAAGTATAAATATTTTTTACTTTTGACAGGAAGGGAGCGAGCACCGCCGCCAACCGTCGTGACATCTAAGGGAGTTTACAGTTGGTATTAAAATTAATAAAATACATATTATTATAAATTGGTTCTACAATTAGGAACTTTTAAACCTAAAATAAAAAGAAATATATTCATCAATTAGAATTTTTTCATTCTTAACTGTTATTTGTATTATTGTTAGCTGAATAGTTTTGATTTATAAATTCAGGCATAATTCGAATACAACTTTTTGTATTCTAATAATGTATTTAAAAAAAATAATAATCCTTTAAAATTAAGTACTTATTCATATTTTGAATAATTCACCCAGTTACTAGTAAATGTTTTGAACTTGTGAAAATGCATTTGTTTGAACGGCTAAAATACAATCACAGACTTCTATACTACACTGATATATAGAAATATGTGTATACACTGTCTATACAATACATTCTTATCTATCTCAGTGTTTCCAACTATATACCAAGTCCTATGATGCATGCATTGTCTGGCATTGATACCGTATGAGTGAGTTTACACGGCTTTCCGTATTCCGTCGTCGTAGGTACCGTTGTGACTTGTACTGCCGTCTGGTTGGAACTTTGCGAGTTGTAACTTGACGTGCTTAGTGGTAGACTTTCTGCCACCCGAATCTCGACGATTATTATTATTATTATTATTAATTATTATTTATAGTTAAATTTTCATTTTTTACGTCGCAGCAGCAGCTGGCCAGTGACTACTCGCGGTATTCATGAATTATTGTAATTTGTAATCATAAAACGTTTAATCACGACCGCGTCTTACGACAGTAACAGTTATTTTTATTTCAACACTCGTCAGTGGTGATAGATCTAACGCCTAGGTCACTGTTTGTATTGCTAAACATACGCACAGATTCGTATTATACGAGTCCGAGTATAATATATTTGTACATCCCAAAAGATATCTACCTCTAAACGTAAGGTTTTGGCAGCCACAACGTCATTGTTTGTGTAACAAATTTGCACGTTCTCAAACTACACGACTCCTATCAATGGCGGACGAGCTAATCAATTACAAATTGCAACTGCAGCAGGTAATTGTTTCTCACTATTTGCATAATGTTACAATGTCGTCGTCACGGACAGTATAAAATGATAAATAAAATACAAACGTATTAAATCTATGATTTTTGTTATTCAATGTGACTACGTAACATGTATTTGTCGTCATACGTCCATAAAATAAAAAACCATCGAAATGTGAGGATAAAAATCTATTGGATTTTGAGCCGGGTTCACAACGTAAGCGTCAAATTCCTTTTATTGTATTCTGATTGGTCGCTGTAATCGTTTTATCATTCACTTACCTTGATCTAAGTTGAAATTTCCAGAGTTGGGCCGAGCTCGACTTTTGGACAAGAAGAAAAACATAACTATGAACACAGCTTAATTTATTTACAGTATTCACATAAATATTCACAGAATCGGCAATCAGCTTGAAGGACCTACCTTCTGGAATTTAAAATGCTATTTGCTGGTACCCACTTCAATCATTTAATTGTATTTTAGTTCATAACATATTATCTGTCGTATTATAACTTACGCTAAAATCGATTAAGAATAGTCTTTCCTAAAAATTAAAACTTGCAAATTACAAATATTAAAGCCCATTAAAACAACAGAAAATAAATGACTAACTTTCCTGACAGAGTTACACATTTTTGTTATAAATAAAATATAAAATATGATTGTTATAAAATATTTAAATTAGGTAATCAATCAGTTTATTCTATAAGTATAGTAACATTTGAGATATCCCTGTATCAGTAAATGAGTTTATGATCGTTATGTTTGCGATATGTTATAACATTTTAGAAATAGACTCTAGTTTCTAATTCTAGTATTAAAGACATTTGTTGTTATTTAAATTAAATGCTAACATAATTTAAATACATTTAAATGTACCTATCATTTAATATTTCTTAGGTACCTACCTATTGAATTTATTTTTAGTGAATATTTTGTAATATTAACCATCACTTTTATAAATAAATCATTTTTAAAACATAAACATAGTATATTATCAGTAAGTTCCTTAGGTATATTTTTAAATATTTTTACAACTTTTATTGAGTATAATATTATGATGATCTTGAGCTAATACAACAATTTATATTAATGAATGTAAGCAAACAATAATTTTGAATTTTTAAATAATAGAAATTAAGAGTTAGGTACCTATTTCAAAATAAAATGTTTTGATAACGCCCATTTATTTGCCATTGAGCGAAAATGATATGATACAATTCAATTTAAATAATATAGTGCATTACAATTAATATAACACATAAGTGTAGTATGCAGTACCTAATTACCTATATTTTTCTACTCACTAATACAATTAAGTATTTCAAGTATTTGCTTAAATTATAGCTTATGAAGATAATGCTATAACTTTTGAAATGTTTATCATATACCTACTTCTAATTATTGTTTTAATCAAAAGTTTAAATTGAACATTCCGTTTTCTTATTTCTATTTTAAATTATTTTTTTTAATGTCATTATCATATTATTCTATCCCTTATTAGTGCCTATTAAAAAAATGTAAGCAATTATTAACTTATTTTTGATATTAAATAAAAGCCTCACTCATTGGAGTTCAAATTTTAAAAAGAACACAATCTTTGCAGTTTTAATTAAAATAAAAAGAAACATTTTATAGTGAAAATCCTTCACCATAAATATATTTTTTTTAATAATAAATAGATGCAGCAATGGGAAACATTATTAGCATCATCTGTATCTTACATTGACATCATCCAAAGTATCAAGGTATTACAATTAGGCAAACAACTAATTAAAATATAATTTATAATTTCTCCCGGTTTATAAAATTGTAGAGAAAAATTGCTGTTCATAAAAGTCTTCAGATTTGCTTTACCTGCATTATACCCAATTCACCTGACACCAGCAGTTGGAACAGTTGTAGCTGATATTTATTCACCAACTGATTGGTTACTGTAAAAACAAACAACCATGGTCTGTATTTAAATAAAAGTACTCCTGGTTGAGATTATAGAAAAATTTTTTAAAAGATTGTCGGAATTTTTAGGATTCAGCCGTGTTGAACATTCTACATCCGGATGTAATCGTTTATACGCACCGGTAAGGTTTGTCTGGCAAAGCTATGGTCTATTGACCATAGTATATAATAAATTGTATCAATTTAATACACTTTTGTTATAGGCCCTAATTAGTTTACTTTGGGGAAAATGCTTACGTAAATGTAATATTTGCTTTGCTTATATTTTATTCTACTTGTAGGTAGAAGCTGCATTGACAAATAGTCCTGATGACCCAGAACTCATGAAATTAAAAACCGATTTAGAAGAAGTTATTGAATTAACAGCTGAACTTGTAAGAACGCAAGCTCAGCCAAAAAAAGAAATTGGTA